CCTATTATACATGTGAAGCCATAGTTCACTTCTGATACCAGATATGTGGGAGTTTTTCCCCACACATCAAGCAGTCTTGTAGTTCTGACACTCTCACAGGTTGAGCGCTCCTATGTACTGATTTACTCTTTCTCTCTCTCTCTCTCTCTCTCTTTTTTTTTTTTTTTTTTGACAGGCAGAGTTAGACAGTGAGAGAGAGAGACAGAGAGAAAGGTTTTCCTTCCGTTGGTTCATCCCCCAATTGGCCGCTACGGCCGGTGCACTGTGCTGATCCGAAGCCAGGAGCCAGGTGCTTCCTCCTGGTCTCCCATGCGGGTGCAGGGCCCAAGCACTTGGGCCATCCTCCACTGCACTCCTGGGCCACAGCAGAGAGGTAGACTGGAAGAGGAGCAACCGGGACAGAATCCGGCGCCCCAACCGGGACTAGAACCCGGGGTACCGGCGCCTAGTGGGTCTAGTGAGCTGTGATTAGCCTAGTGAGCTGTGGCGCCGGCCTGATTTACTCTTTAGATGCCTGCAGTGCCAGGGCTGGGCTTGACTAAAGCCAGGAATTCAATCCAGGACTCCCATGTAGATGGCTAGAACCCAATTATTTGAGTTATCACCTGCTGTCTCCTAGGGTCTACATTAGCAAGAAGCTGTAGTAAGCAGCCAGAGCTGGGTATTGAATCCAAGTACTCCAATATAGGGTGTGGGCATTAAGCCAAATGCCCACCCCACTTTTCATGTCTTTATTTAGTTTCTCTTTTTGTTGAACTTAAAACAACTCTTCATGATTTCTACCTATTGGTGTTACTTGTACTTCCCAGAGCAATTTTGCAGAGCATAACTTTTTTCATAGTTTTTCTATACAGATGTTTTTTGAAAGGTTGGATAACAGTGTGAAAGAATGCTATTTCATGTTTCTCATGGCTTTTTTACTTATGTGACTTATGTTCTACCAGTGTACAGGATGCACAGGACTTTAGTGTGCTGAAAGGAAAGAGTGTTTGATGGACAGTCAGGAGACTTGATTTTGCCACCTTTTTCAGCAAATTGTTTCACCTTTTTTTTTTTTTTAAGATTTCTTTATTTATTTGAAAGAGTTACAGAGAAAGAGGGGAAGAGACAGAGATCTTCCATCCCTTGGTTCACTCCCTAGTGATCCCAACATTCATGGCTGGGCTAGGCCAAAGCCCAGAGACAGGAACATCATCTGACTCTCCCACATAGGTAGGAAGTGCCCAGGTACTTGGGCCATCTTCCACGGCTTTTCCCAGGCCATTAGCAGGGAGCTGAATTGGCTTTTGAGCGGTCAGAACAGAAACCAATGCTCATATGGGATGCTGGTATTATAGGGGCAGCTTTACCAGCTATGCCACAGTGTTTCACTTCTTTTGAGCCTCAATTTCCTAAAGGGATGAAAATCAGTTACTGCATAGGAACCATACTTTCTATTTTGTTGTTGTTACCAATAAATAAGATTATAGAATAGGCCCGTTCCTGGTTTTGCCATAGTTTGTTACATCTGGGTCAGAAAGTGTTTCTGCTGTCTTAATGTAATAGTCCAATTAGGCATGAGATATGGCTACTTTTTACAAAACTCTAGAAAACATAACAGCTGTTTATTCAGTTTAATGTCTGGTGGTTAGAAAATGACAGAGTTTTAGGAGATGGTTTGTTTGTTGGTTTTGCCTGTTTTCCCTCACTGTACAGTAATTAGTGATGTGACTTGATTCCAGCTTACAAACTGGAAGCCTTCTGTAGATATTTATTTAATGAATGATTGAAGTTGTGGTGGTATTCTTTTTTTCCCTGCCTTTAGTAAGCAGTTGTTTTCAGCTAGCAGGCAGCTTTGTAGGTATCTTATCCTTATGACTGAGGCCCATGTAATCATTGAGAATTTATCTCAACTTTTATATACGTGTCTGTGAACAAAATTCATGATACTCTGTGTATGTGTTTGAGCTATGAGATTTAAGATGCTATTTTAAAAATTATTGTAAGGCTGCATTGCAGAAATTCTGGAAATGTGGAAAGCATTGGGTATACTTTCGTGGTAGATATTTTGAGGAATAAGCTGTCATTAGAATATTAAAACAAGAGTGATGTTTGCTTCGACCTGTGAGCAGTGGCAGCTATGTAGAATTCTCACATATGGTGAGTGTGCATCCTGAGCTCACATTCCACCTGCCATGCCATTTCTAAGAAACATCACTTCTTCCCTCTCTCTTCTTCCAAGAAAACCTCACTTACATTTACTTTCAAGTCTCTAAGTTGGTATCTAGTGGCTAAGATGAATACAAAGAGCCTAGAATCCTAGGTTAAAAGATTGCTTGACTTTACAGGTTAATCATCTGTGCCTGGTGTGTAGTAGATCTGATTCACAAGTTACATTTTACTCCTCAGGATTCCTGAGGATAAAGTAGTATGCTGACAGCTAAGAGGATAAATTATTTACACAAAAGAATGTGTCACCGTATCTGAAATTATGCCAGATAAAGTGGTGTTTGATAAATTAAAAACTGAAAGATAGAAAGTGGTAAAAATAACCTGGTGTTCTTGAACTGGAACAGGATTGTGTGGCTAAATGTTTTGCTCCTGGGGCTGGCATCGTGGCATAACATGTTAAGCCTCTGCCTGGAAAGCATCCCCTGTGGGTGTCAAATTTGAGAGCCAGCTGCTCCACTTCCAATCCAGTTCCATGCTAATATGCCTGGGGAGCTGTAGAAGATGACCCAAGTGCTTGGGCCTCTGTACCCACACGGGAGACCCACAAGAAGCTCCCTGGAGACCGGCACTGTGATGCAGTGGGTTAAAGCCCCAGCCTGTAGCGTCAGCATCCCTTATGGGATCTGGTTTAAGACCTGGCTGTTCCACTTCCCATCCAGCTCTCTGCTATGGCCTGGGAAGGCAGTAGAGGGTGGCCTGAGTCCTTGGGCCCCTGCACCTGTGTGGGAGACCTGGAAGAAGCTCCTGGCTCCTGGCTTCGGATCAGCTTAGCTCTGGCCATTGTGGTCATTTGGGGAATGAACCAGCGGAATGGAAGACCTCTCTTTCTCTCTCCCTCTCTCTCTCTCTTTCTCTCTCTCTCTCTCTGTAACTTTGTCTTTGAAATCAATAAAATAATAATAATTTAAAAAAGCTCCTGGCTCCTGGCTCCTGGCTTCGGCCTGGCCCAGCCCCAGCCATTATGGCCATTAGGAGAGTAAACCAGCAGATGCAGACCTCTCTCTCTCTCCCCTCTCTCTGTAACTTTGCCTTTCAAGTATATAAAAAATAAAACTTAAAAAAAGTTCTCCTCCCTTCGGTATTAAGAAGTCACCATTAAGCCCATCAGTATTTTTCAAAAAACCTAGTTTCTTGGGAAGATCTATATGGACTAGAGCTATGCTGTCCAGTGCATTAACCATTGGACATATGTAACTGTCGAGTACCAATAATGTACCTAGTCTAGATTGAGATCACTGATTGGACAAGATGTATATACCAGGCTGCAAAGCTTAGTATAAAAAATGCAAAATATTTCATTTCAAATACTGATTACATATTATTTTAAAATAATTTTGAATATGTTATGGTAAGTGAACTATATTATTAAAGTTAATTTTACCTGTTTTTACTTTTTTAATGTGACTGTAAAAATTATATACACGGCTCTCATATTTTTATTATATAGTGCTGGTACAGAGCTAAGGTTTTCCAATTCTAAGGCATGGAATTGATCCAGGATTAAGAAAATAGGTACTAGAAGTCTTCCAAAGAATATGACTGACCACTGATACTGAATCTAAGGAAATATCTGAGCCTGGTAGATGGGATTTTTCCTGCACCAATGGAGTTTTTCTAAGAGATAGAAACCACCAAGTAATTGAACAGGGAAAGTTAAATATAAAGAATTATTAATGTACAGGCAGGCATTCAGTCTAGCAGTTAAGACATCTGCAACCCACATCAGAATACCTGGTTTGGATTCCCAACTTTGGCTCCCTACTCTTCCTTCCTACAAATCAGACCCTGGGAGACAGTGATGATGGCTCAAGTAGTTGGGTTCTACCACCCATGTGGGAGATCTGGATTGGGTTCCCATCTCTTAGGCTTTCAGCTGACATAGTTCAGCCATTTCAGGCATTTGGGAGTGAACCAATGGGTTGCAGTGCTCCAATCTGCCAAGTTAAAAAGTAATTACTAACTTATAACATAGGATTAACTAGTTAGGAGTGAAGAAAACTCTAAAGGAAGAGCAGATAATGAGAATAGCCACTGCCCCTAAGACTTGAGTCAGATTACTTTAGGATGGAGTAAATTGAAAGAAGTTCCCTTCTTCATGCCAGGGCTGAGGTGCTCTCCTCATTGGAGAGGCCATGCCGTTGGCACACATGATGGGAAGAAGTTTGGGGAGGTATTACAGACTAGGAGAGGCCACCCTGTGGGTGCCATTGGAACTCCCTGGGAGTGAGCAACATTGGGTGCCTTGCATGCAGCTGTCTGCTGTTTGTGGCAGGAATAATCAGAGAACACACAGGAACCAGGAATAGAAGGCCTTTCCCCTCTCCAGCATGCCCAACTGACAAACTTGCATTATACCAATTGACAAAGAAGAAATGTTTGCAGAGTCTAGTTCCACTATCAGAAAACAGGAAAAAAAAGAGTGAATTTGGAGCAGAGAGGTAATAGATTGTTAACTAGCGCACTTTGTAAATGTGTTGGCACTGTGTAAGGTAATCTATTTCTTGATAAATCTTGGTGGTTAGGTACCAAGATGGAATATTTAAAAATTAGACTGTTGAAAATAATCTATGATACGCAGTCACCACACCCAAACATGATTAAATAAGAATCTTTAATTTTTAAAAGGTTTAGGAAAGATCACTGTCTTCTCTTGAGTTCTGCTTTCTACTCTATTTATATCGTAAGCAATGACTATTAAACAGTAGGTGATCAATTTTCAGTAGAAATGCTGTGTCAGTGGTTACTAATTTCATCTACATTTTACTCATTGCTTTGTTTATTCCTGGTAGTGTTCGACTACAGTTATAGAGATTACATTCTGTCCTGGTATGGAAACCTCAGCAGAGATGAGGGACAACTTTACCATCTGCTCTCAGAAGACTTTTGGGAAATTGCCAGGCAGCTACGCCATAGACTGAGTCACGTGGATGTGGTTAGAGTTGTCTGCAATGATGTTGTGAGGACTTTACTCACTCATTTCTGTGACCTCAAAGCTGCTAATGCCAGGTAACTATTGTAATATGAACAACTCTCCTACTTTTTTTTTTTTTTTTTTAAATCAAACGATTTTCCTTTTTGCCTGAGGAGCCAAAGTCAAGACAAAACTCTAGGATAGTCTGCCAGTTTTCTCGCACTTGGATTAAAAGTGTAGACGTATTATTGGGTTAATAATTATTGTGTTCTGATAGAGCAGATTTTTCTTTGTAAATTTCTTAGTGGTAACCACTTTCTAGATACATTTAGTTTGTCAAATAATTTAAATAGTGAAATGAATTTTCCTGAGCCAGTGCCATGATGAACTCATTAATACCTAGAGGTAGAAAGCCTAATACATTATTTTATAATATTTTAATATTATAATATTTTATGATGATGTTAGTGTTAATGAATTTGCAGTTTTTATAAACATTAAATATAGGTCATATTTCTGCTTTGAGTCCTGTGTTAAGAGCTCTATTGCATCACAAGATCGTGAAAACTAGATTTTAAAGAAACTTTACATTGGAGCTTGTGGGGTCTAACTAAAGATACTTCGTTGAGCTTCTGTTTATATGCGTTATATCTAGTAGTGTGCTGTAGCCAACTTGTAGTGACATGCAATAGCTGTGCACACTTCTTCCTAACCCCTAGTTCAGTGATATCATATTAGTAACTTGAAATGCTGTGACAGTATTTATACTGTGAAACAGGAAAATGCTCCAAATTAGAATTTTTCCCCCTAGAGAGCCAATTGTTGAACATTTATCAGCTTACCACTGATGTTAGTTTTCAATATTTACAATATTGAGATATTAAAACAAGACATTTTAAAAGTACAGGGGTACACACTACACTTTCCATTAACCTCCAGAGTGGTGATGTCATCACACATTATGTAGCCACTGGAAAACTCAACTATGCTTGTGAGAATGAGCATGAAAAAGAAAATGACATTTTATACTACCATAAATGTAATTTTAACTTTACAAGAGTCCCTGAAAAAGAGTGTTGGGGATGCCAAGGAGTCTGAACTACCCTTCGAAATCTGCTGCTTGTACAGAAAGTAACTTCCTCTAAGGGTTTTGCTGTGGAGAGTTTGAATTAAAAAGGGAAGTTAGAGGACTGGGACTCTTGGGTGTCTCAAAAGCATCAGCCTTTCCTTTTGATGTGCTCTACTGCCTGGAACACCTGCTTATTTGCTGTGGTGTTCACTATATAAAGTATATCCGATTTCTCGGATCTGTCACAGACTTGTTTGAATTCAGTGGAAGCTCATTTTAAAGTATTTAAATTATAGTCTAATAGAGGACAGTATTTTAAATCAGTGTTTATTCTGTTAAGAGACTGATGGATTTAGGTTTGGGAAAAGAGCAAGTGATTAGGGAAATCTCATGTTTTTATGATTATTTAATTTCAAATTGTTATTTAATTTCAACTTGAGAACATATTTTTCACTGAGACATTTACCAGCTTCTGAAATTGCTGCTTTTGTGGATAATATAAAGATATCTATGGGTGAAGTGTCAGAATAATAGAAACGGAGTCCTGATTCCATATTAGAAGCTTCTTGTTTTGAGCTTCTAGTCTTCTTATGCCAATGGTAGATTGATTTTACTCATATCCAGGCTATGCCTAGAAGCCCTAGTTGATGATTAAAAATAATAATAAAAGGATAAAGAAAAAACATAGAAAAAATTCGATGTTTTCAGGGATTTTTAATATTTGAAGAAATGACAGTAGGTCACTGGTATTTTGCATGTAGATGGCCATACCCTAAAGAATGAGAATTATCTGTGCATCTGTTATCTGAAGAACTGGTGTTATACGAATCACAGTGATACTGGCAAGCAGTGACTCCAGATTTGAGGACTGTGTCTGCCTGCCTGCCCCAGGTGAACGGTACTATTGTCCCAGAAACCTCCATTGGTGTGTGGATCTCCGTGAGCCACAAAACAACTTTGGTAGCCTGCAGAGCGTGCAGTTGAATTGGCCGCTATCAGACACAAGAATAATAAATTGCCTTAATAAAAGCAGCACACCCTCTGACTAACTGTTAGGCAATTTTGTGGAGGCAGCTTTCCGGTCAGCCTGTGTTTCTTTCCAGGCCCTCATTCGGTTGCTACTTTAAGCCAATCCAGATCCCATTTAATTCTTGCCTCTGCTTCCTCTTCCGTTGTCCCATCTGTCTTGTTCCAGCATGTTTCAGGGAAATCTAAAAATGATTGCTTTTATGCTATTAATTCAATGGAGTATTTAATTTCATTGTCTCCTTAGAATCTCTGCATTTTGTTTGCCAGTCAAATACTTTCATGCCATTTGAGAGAGAACATTTTTATTCTCATGTTTTCCTTCTTTATCTCTAAAATTGTTTTCCATTTCATCTCTGCAATCCCTGGTCATGATATAGTGTAGTTTGGGCTTGAGAGTCAGACAGAATGGTGCTTGAGAGGAATTTCTACCATTTGTTACTTCTGTGATTTTGACTATTCACTTAAGCATTCAGATCTTAATTTTCTAATCTATCAAATGTTGAAGATTATCTACTTTTTGGTGTAGGTGGGAGGATAATTTTAAATTATTTATTTATGTATTTTTAAAGAGTTACAGAGAGAAAGGGAGAAACAGAGACATCTTCCATCCATTGGTTCACCTCCCCAGATGGCCACAACTGCTTGGGCTGGGCCAGGCCAAAGCCAAGAGACAGAAGATTCTGTGGGTAGCAGGGGCCCAAACCCTTGAACCGTTTTCCCCTGCTTTTCCTAGGCTATTAGCAGGGAGCTATATCAGAAGTGGAGCAACTGGGACACAAACCAGCATCCATATGGGATGCTGGCATTGCAGGTGGTGGCTTTACCTGCTACACTACAATGCTGGCCCCCAGGTAATATTGGACACATGAAACTTATAAAAGGTTGACATCATTTTTCTTACCCAAAGAGTGGGAACCCAGAGGTAAGTATTGGGAATTGCAGTAAACAAGTGATGGACCTGTATAGACTGAAAGATGCTACAAAGACTAATGCTGCAGCTCAACAGAAGGCCAGCTTGACATCCTGATTCAGAAGTAGCCATAGAACTCATGATTCTTGGCTTCTAAAGCAACTTGATAGCCACTTTCTAGAGGCCATCCTAGGGATATCCTGAACAGAGTTAGCAGAGGGATTCCAGGAAAGCACTCACATCCTTCTTCCAGAGATTGAGCTTGTCTGACTAACCCTCTGGCCTTTGGCTCACTCAGAGGATTTTTCCTAACTCAGGCCTACAAGGTAGAGGAACATGTAGTCTGGGGTCTGGGCTCCTTTTGTAACCTTCTTTCCCTTAGTGTGGATGGGGGATTGTGCTTACTTTGAGAGGGTTTTTTGATGTTATTTAAAGCCTCTGTTATAAAAGTAGATTTTGGTTCTTTTGGCCAACTTAACTCCCATAAGCATTACCCAAATGTGCTCATGTTTTAAAGTAAAGAATTTTTTGTTTAAAAAAGATTTATTTATTTATTTGAAAGGCAGGGAGAGAGAGAGAGAGAGAGAGAGAGAGAGAGAGAGAGAGAGAGAGAAATAGAGAGAGAGAGAGCTCTTCCATCCACTGGTTTGCTCCACAAATGGCCAATATGGTCGAAGCTGGGTTGATCCAAAGCCAGAAGCCAGGAGCTTCCTCTGAGTTTCCCTCATGGGAGGGAGGTACTTGGGCCATCTTCTGCTGCTTTCCCAGGCCACAGCAGAGAGCTGTATTGGAAATGGAGCAGCCGGTACATGAACCAGTGCCCATATGGGATGCTGGTACTGCAGGCAGTGACTTTACCCAGAATGCCACAGCACAGGCCACAAGAATTATTTTTAAAAGTACTTGACATGACAAAGGCACTTAATGATACTATTTTGAAATAGTAACTCTTAACTGACAGAGTTTAAAATAATTGAAAATGCCATTTTAAAAAACTCAATATGTATCAGTTCATGCATAATGACTTACTCTTAAAAATCTTTTTTTGGTGTTGTTGGCTTCACACATCAGTATAGATTTCCTCTTGCTTATTATAGAAGAAGAGGAAACTTTTTTTTATGGTTTAGTCTTTCATCTCTAGTGCAAAAAGAAATTGCAATTAACTGCTGAAACACATGGGTTATAAATGCACTGATACACATTCATGGGGTTTTTTCCATTGCCAGTGTAGTGCCCAATGTGTTTTTCCCCTCTCTGTTTTTCTTTTTCCCTCAGTTTTGGCCACTAGTTACTATAAGAATCTTTTATACTGTGCCTGTTACTAGAAAAATTAGCATCCTAGTCTTTCTTGAATTGCTATGAAGATACTATGTGGTGTGGTAGGCTGGGTCGTGTGGGTACTGGTTCCTGTCCTGGCTGATCCTCTTCCGGTCCAGCTCTCTGCTAGTGGCCTGGGGGTGGGGGGTAGCAGTGAGGGGTGGCCTAGGTGCTGGAACTCCGGGCTCCTGGCTTAGGATTGGCCCAGTTCTGGCCATTGCGGTTATTTGGGGTGTGAACCAGCGAATGGAGGACTTTTCTCTGTCTCTCCCTCTGCCTGTCTGTAATTCCACCTCTCAGATAAATGAATAAAATCTTTAAAAATATACTATGGAAAAGGGAAAAATGGAAGTTTCTTTTCACACCTCTTCCTCTAGGTCCACCAAATTAATGACCCTGGGATGGGGTCAACACCAACAGAGAAGTTCATGACCAAGGTTGGCAAGACTGGCTGGAAAATACTTGGGAGGCTGACAGTAGGCAGTTTACCATCAATATAGGTAGCATCAGGTTAGGGTATTGTAGCACAGGTGGTTAATCCACTGGTTGGGACACCCATATCCCTTATTGGATTGCTGGTTTTAGTCCCGGCTACTCTGCTTCCAACCCTGTTCTTTGCTAATATACTTGGAAATAGTCAATAATGGCCCCAGTACTTGTGTCCTGCCATCCATATGGAAGTCCCAGATGTAGTTCTGAGTTCCTAGCTTCAGCCTGGGCCACCCTAGCTTTTGCAGCAATTTCAGAAGTGAATCAGCAGGGGGAAGATCTCTTTCTATCTGTCTCAGTTACTCTGTCTTTGAAATAAATACATCTTTTAAAAAAAAATAAAAATTATGTGGCATCAAGTTATGGGCTGTCTACTCACAAGAAATGCCTGTAGAATTTTTTTTATACTATGATCTTCCAATCAAGAAAGCTTGCTGATAACCCTGATTTTATGCTTTGTAAGCTTTTTTTTAAAAGTAAGTTTTTTTTTTTTTAAAGAGAGAGCGAGCACATTTGAGAAGACATACTCTTGAACTGTTGCTATGATTTGAGAGTTAGAACTTTTGATGTTACTGGAGGTAGTTACCATAATTTGAAATCCCCAAAGGGCATGTATTTTCATTTATTCCAGTATACATTTTCCATATTAGTCTGTGATTGAGGAAAACACTGATACTGATGAAGAAGTGGCAGAGTTATTCTAACCAATGTGTTGTCCGTTTTTTGTCTAATGGTACATATCTGAATTGTTTCCAGAAATTTCTTTCCTTTCCCCTATCTTCATTTGTTTATTTTTTCAGACATGAAGAACAGCCGAGGCCTTTTGTGTTACATATGTGCTTGAGGAACTCAGATGATGAAGTAAGATTCCTGCAAATGTGTTCTCGGGTCCTGGTGTTTTGTCTGCTCCCCTCAAAGGATGTCCAGTCTCTCAGCTTACGTATAATGCTTGCAGAAATTCTCACAACAAAAGGTAGATTTATGAGATTTACTATTACTAATGCAATCAATCAGTGTGCAAACTAATATACTAGATACTAATGTGTTAGTATTTGTATACTGTGTGAAAGATATGGGAATTAAAATATTTTCAAAATATTAAGTTTATTTTTAAAAGCTTTATTTATGTATTTGAAAGTCAGAGTTAGGGGGAGAGAGACAGAGACAGAGGGAAATCTTCCATTGCTGGTTCACTCCCCCAGTGGCTACAGTGGCTGGCGCTGGGCCGATTGAAACCCAGGAGCTAGGAGCTTCTTCTACATCTCCTCAGCCCAAGGACTTGGGCTTTCTTCTGCTGCTTTCCCAGGTGCATCAGCAAGGATGCTGGATTGGAAGTCAAGCAGCCAGGACTTGAACCAGGCCCATATGGGATGTCGGCGGCAGACAGCAGCTTTACCTGCTGTACCACAGCGCTGGCCCCCAAAATGTTGTTTAAATGTCACTCAAAGAAAGCATTTGGCCACCATTTGTGATAATCTTAAATATTTTATATAACATACTGAAAAATGCACAGTCCATTCTACTATTTATTTTGACACTTGAGAATCAGTTCTTATGCTCTCATTTGCATTCATTTGGATTAGTTATGAAGTTTTACATACCAGTAGTGTATGCATTAATAAAAGTGTCTATGTGTGATGTATGTGCACACAACATACATATATATGTATTCAAACCCCAATTAGCATTTACTTAAAATCTTTGCTATAAAATTCATTGATAATACTTATACATAATTTTGTGAGCTTGGAATAAATGAACTGTGCCACCTTATAATGGGATTGCTAGAGCCGGCGCCGCGGCTCACTAGGCTAATCCTCCGCCTAGCGGCGCCAGCACACCGGGTTCTAGTCCCGGTTGGGGCGCCGGATTCTGTCCCGGTTGCCCCTCTTCCAGGCCAGCTCTCTGCTGTGGCCAGGGAGTGCAGTGGAGGATGGCCCAGGTGCTTGGGCCCTGCACCCCATGGGAGACCAGGAAAAGCACCTGGCTCCTGGCTCCTGCCATCGGATCAGCGCGGGGCGCCGGCCGCAGCGCGCCGGCCGCGGCGGCCATTGGAGGGTGAACCAACAGAAAAGGAAGACCTTTCTCTCTGTGTCTCTCTCTCACTGTCCACTCTGCCTGTCAAAAAAAAAAAAAAAAAAGGGATTGCTAGAAAGAAGTTAACCCCCCCCCCCGGGGGGGGGAATGCTTAGCCAGGATAATAAAAATGGAAGAAAGTAAGGCCAAGGAAAAGTTTCCCTATTTCAATTTCAAACAAGTAACATTGCATTTGAAATGCACTGATTGAATGTCTCCTTATCTCAAGATTAGCCAGCTGTGCCCATCTGATATCAACAACCACAGAGAAAAGGGGAACTTTTCAGTCTAAAGTTAGTAGGATGGATTTGTAATAGTGTAACTGACATTCTTTTTTTAACAACTTCCTCCTTGAGATCTGCTTTGACTAGTTGGGAGAATGCTGGCTTTCATCCTTTGGCAAACTAACCTGGTCAAAATATGTTGAACCTTGTAAAAAGAAGAAAAAGAAACCATGTACTTGATTTGGATAGCAAATTTCAAAAGTTAGCAACTTGGGTTCTAAATGACTTCCTTTCCTTATTCCTTTATATTTCACTCTTATTAAAATGACCATTTGATTGTAGCTATGATAGATAACACATCTGTAAGAATAGGCAGCCCTTCGTGTGTGTGTGCACATCTTGGAATGCTTGAATTGTTTATAATTTCTTCAGTTTGTCTAGTTGAAGAAAGATTTCCAAATATAGTTTCAATTATGTGATATAAAAACAATTCCCTTAATGAAGAAAATGTTTTTCAGTGCTGCTTTCTGTTCCTTCCCACAGTCTTGAAGCCAGTAGTGGAATTACTGAGCAATCCAGATTACATTAACCAAATGCTGCTTGCCCAGTTGGAGTACAGAGAACAGGTGAATGAACATCACAAGAGAGCCTACACTTATGCGCCTTCTTATGAAGAGTTCATCAAGCTTATTAACAGCAACTCTGATGTGGAGTTCTTGAAGCAACTAAGGTATTTGGTTATAGCACAAAACTAGCTACTGATTATTATCTGCTGTCTAGTTAGATTTTTTTTTTTAATTTGATTGCTAGGTAAGCAGAAATGAAAGAAGTCCACAAATCTTAGTGACAACTAAATTTACCCAGCTTCTCCTTAGCAGTGGAATTAGAATTAGAGTGTTGTTTTTGCAAATAATTCGATTATGATAGACTGAAAGTCCGTTAGTTGTTAGGAATACCTACTCAGCTGCTCAGTTGCCTGTCTTTGAGGAGCATTGGAAGGGGATACTTTCTGTGGATCTTTTTTCTGAGGAATTCAGAGGCACGGGTTTGAGAATTAGGGGTCTTAACTAATTGTTTTGAGAAAATACGTTGGAAAAATGCCACAGGAGTCTTTTATGGGGAGAACAGTCTCCATTATCATTCTTAAGATGTTTTAGTGGTGAGCTGTGGTTTTTGTGTGTTTATTTTTCTTTTTATGCTGTGTGTGTGTGTACATACAGGAGCAATATAATTATACGCTATTATGTACTCTGTGGATTTTCTAGACTTCTGCTTCTCTGCTCACCTTTCTTTATGGTTGTCCCAAATGATGATAGTTGAGAAAGAAGTGAAACTGTTGTCATTTTGGTTTTCATTAGTAATTTTGGTAAATCATTGATTGAAAAGTAAAATATTGGCTTAAGTGTTTAAGCTACTTGAGGAATTTAAATTTGTCATATTTGCCTTTGAACTAGAGTTAACATTAAGATGACTTATGCTGCTTAGTTTTCTCATGCAGATAACATGCCATCTAAGAGACGTATGCTGCAAATGGCACTGGGTTCTTGTAGACTGTATCACATGTTAATTTTGATCCTATAAGTGTTATGTATGGCTTTGTTTACAAGTAACTTAATTATTTGGAATATAATATCCAGAGATTTTATTTGCTTCTTTTTCTATGCATAATCTAGAATATGCTAAATGCAGTTATTATAGATTTATGATTGCTATAGGTTTTATTTCATTGTTTATTCTTTTTTGATAACTGTGACACTTGAGCTGATAGAGAACCCTAGAATCTATGTTCCAGGTTTGTTTCTTTTAGATTATGTTTGTTGAAAGGTCATCTTTACAATGGCTTCTTTAATTCTTTTTCAAGTATTTTTCCATAAAAAGTGAATGAGCAGTGACAGAACACCCTAGTTGCCTATTCTTCTCCGTAAAACTCTACAAACTCAATAAGCTATGATTCTGTGGATACTATTCAAATTGGTGTATTTTATTAGTGTTCATTCATTGGGTACTTTCATGTCCACTGTTCTCAAATGTGCTGTGATCAAGGCAACTTGATGACCACTCTCTGGAATTATAATTTTTTCCTAAGACATTGTTTATGAGAAGACACCTCATGTTGCTAATTTGTGGATACACTGAAATATTTTTTTAACTTTTATTTAATAAATATAAATTTCCAAAGTACAGCTTTTGAATTACAGTGGCTTTCCCCCCCATAACTTCCCTCCCACACACAACCCTCCCATCTCCTCCTCCCTCCCCCATCCCATTCACATCAAGATTCATTTTCCATTATCTTTATATACAGAAGATTAATTTAGTATATATTATGTAAAGATTTCAATAATTTGCACCCACACAGAAACACGAAGTGTAAAGTACTGTTTGAGTACTAGTTATAGCATTAATTCACATTGTACAACACATTAAGGACAGAGATCCTACATGGGGAGTAAGTGCACAGGGACTCCTGTTGTTGATTTAACAATTGACACTCTTGTTTATGGTGTCAGTAATCACCGAGGCTCTTGTCTTAAGTTGCCAAGGCTATGGGAGCCTTTTGAGTTCGCCAACTCGGATCTTATTTAGACAAGGTCATAGTCAAAGTGGAAGTTCTCTCCTCCCTTCAGAGAAAGGTACCTCCTTCTTTGATGGCCCGTTCTTTCCGTTGGGATCTCACTCACAGCGATCTTTCTTTTAGGTCTTTTTTTTTTTCCGGAGTGTCTTGGCTTTCCATGCCTGAAATACTCTCATGGGCTTTTTAGCCGAATGCCTTAAGGGCTGATTCTGAGACCAGAGTGCTGTTTAGGACATCTGCCATTCTATGAGCCTGCTGGGATACACTGAAATCTTAACAATTTTTTCTCTTTAAATAGTTTTTCCACAGTAAAGTTAGATATGGACTATTTGGTAACCTCCAAGCAAGTTTAAGATAAAAATCTAGAGTCAATAGTGGCAGATTAAGTGAATCAGTATTAGTTGTTCTATTTTATGTGCCACACAAACAATTCCAGCACTGCACATGTGGTGACATAATCAACTAACATCTTAGCAAAAAGATGTGGCCATTTGGGAGTGAACTAATGGATGGAAAACCTCTCTGTCTATCCCTTTCTCTCTGTAACTATCTTTCAAATAAAATAAATAAATCTTTTAAAAAATTACCTAGCTTGGAGAAGAAAATGAAATATTTGTCAAGTACATACTGAGATTGAGGTGGTTTTCTGTTTTAGTAAGATAAATCAAAGGAAGTAGGCATAAGCAGTGGGTTAATTTAAGAGATCATAATTAACAATGGAGTGGGTTACTGAGTGGCTTTGCTAAGTATTTTTTTAGATATTAAGGGAATGGATTTTTAGTGCTGAGAATAGTTTAAATGCATTTATATATGAACATAATATATTAAAATTGCATGCTTCTGTGAAGAATGTAAATTATTTGAATGTTAGTATTTTGAAAAGTTATTCTGAAAATGTTATGAATCATGAGCAGTAAAATGGGATTACATTGTAGAGGAAGATGAAAGAACAAATCACATATACCTCAAGACAAAGTAATATACCATGTGCAGAGTCAATAAATGCACACAAACTGCTAAGGAAAAGGTTAGTGTGGGTGGAGAAGGAGATGATAAATCATAAAGTATGAAACAAAAAATCCTGGCAGATTTTTACAAAAAGAATAAATGAATATAAATTTGGTTTTAAAAATGCAGTGAAGTGAGGCTGCTTAACAAAAATATTCTTTAAAGAACTTTCAGGTTGATGAGAAATAAAAGTACATTGATTTCCACAGATAGTTCCTTTTGTTGGTGTCTAGCAGAGGGCACAGAGTGGGTGTTAAACCTATCAGAAAAGCCACACTATTTTCAGATAGGAGGAAAGATAATTGAATATTAGCAGCATCATAAAACTTAATATAAAAACAGGAAATTTTGCTATAAACTAGCTTGTGATCTCTTGACATTAAAAAAAATCATGTGTTTGTAATTGGAGTGACACTGGCACTGTGGGTACCTGTATTTGCTTTATGAGTGTTACAACCATGTGTCAGTTTATATAAGGTACTTAACCCAGGATCTAGCATATTCCCAATTGTTAGCTTCTACTATTATTGCTATCACTATAGACCAAGGTGGCAAATGTATTTAATTTAATTGTGAACACTAATCAGTGACTAGTGGCCAACCAGAGTGCACTGTCAAGTTTTGGAGTTTGAGGAGACCCAATCAGTAACATGACTCTTTTTTCTACCCTGAACTCTAGACCCTTTTAGAGCTGAGGAAAAAGGCAGAGACTGAAATGTCACTGTTATTATTATTGACAGGTAATGGAGAATATGGTTTTTATGTGAAAGTAGTATACTTTCCAAAACTCAGACTTAGGGTTGGCCTTTCCCACCTAACAAAGCCTCCTTGTCCCTACTTCCTCCTCCTTCCTCATCTCCCTGGCAGGTGCAGAGTCTACCTGCTGGCTGCCCTCTGAGGGGCATGCCCTTATGAGGAAGGAGGAGAGGGAAGCCGTGTTTCATGTGCCCCCACTTCATCCCTCTCTGTGATCAGGTTATAACACTCCTCCTCCTGCACTGGCGGAGAGCAAGTGAGGCTAGAGACTGGGGATTGCGGCTTCTGTTACTTGGATAAAGCATCAAGCCTTGGAGGTGTAATGTTCTTGTCATAAAAAAAAAAAAAAAAAAAGTAATGGTGCTAGGTCCCTACTTAGCAGAAAAGCATTTTGTGATTCACAAGGTCTATTAAAAGAAAGGTAGTGAAGGGTGGTAGAAGTGATGATGCTTAACAACTGGCTTTGGGGCAGGATGAGAAACTGACTTGTAGCATTTGCTGATTTCTGTGGTGTTCATATTCCAGCCACAGCCAATTTAAAGCCTCCAGCATGATGCCACTTAAAATGGAGTTGGCAATAGATTGTCGTTAGCACACTGCTGTGTGTATACCCTATATATGAGTATTTCAACAAGTTTACGGAAAGGCTGAATTAAAAAATAAGTTGATTTTGATGTGAAAATGTTGAAAAACATGCATAGTTTTTTATAGTACTCATTTTTCATGAGCTTTTTTGAAGACCTTGGTATAGTATTTCTGTTTTATTGCTATAATAGACATAAATAACTTCATGAGCATAGGTAAGTGAATAAAATCATTAGGAAATGATGAGTTTTAAATACTTTGTTACCGTTGTAAAATATAATTTGTTTAATTGTAAGTTTGTAAATTGAATTTTTTAATGATAGGTTAAATTCCTAAAAATTTAGGCATGTAAAACCGTGAGCTAAAGAAACCTCTCTTCCCTTTATAGATGCCTCATTTCAGTTATTTTGTTTTAGTAACAAAAAGCTGACTTACACATTCAGTAAATATTCTGAACAAAAATGCTTAATGTAAGAATTAAGAATGAGGGGCCAGTACTGTGACATAGTAGGTTGAGTCTCTGCCTGTGTTGCCAGCATCCCATATGGGCACTGGTTCAGGACTTGGCTGCTCCACTTCTGATCCAGCTCCCTGCCTTTTTTTTTATTTTTAACTTTTATTTAATGAATATAAATTTCCAAAGTACAGCTTATGGATTATAATGGCTTCCCCCCCATAACGTCCCTCCCACTCGCATCCCTCCCCTTTCCCACTCCCTCTCCCCTTCCATTCACATCAAGATTCATTTCCGATTCTCTTTATATACAGAAGATCAGTTTAGCACACATTCAGTAAAGATTTCAGCC